CATCTGAGTGTTTAACACTGGAGTTCAAAAATTAGAGCCTTTGCCGGAAGCCAGTGTGTCAACCAATCTGATGCAGGACTTTATGGGTAAATAGATAATACATGTAAGCTGTTATCCCCTCTGCAGAGCTGTCTGCATATGAAAAATAAATAAACATAATTTTGAAATGTGATTAACTGTTCAGTTCTAGTACAAACAGAACAATTACTGGAAGAATACAGAGCCAGTCAGGGTTCCTTCACCTCTCAAACTGTTGGCCCTGATAGGTGGATGTAGGTCTAAAGCACTTGGAAGAACCGTCCCCTCTGAACTCCCAATTCTGCTTCTCTTTCTGCAGAAACAGCTTTTCATTAGTAGCGTCCAAAGCACTTCTCATCATGTTTTTATCCCAGTGTAACATTTGCTGTCGGCCAGCTCAGCTCCAAACTGCTTTCTATTTCTGCAGCTTATTGAACTCACCTGTTCTCTGATTAGATATTGATTCCCTGATGTTGAGCCCTTTCAACCAGCAGAGAAGCTTCAGTATTTTCCACGTGTTGAAGCCACGGCAACATGTATATAGTCGTTTGAAGAATGTTTCACATTTGGATGATTCATTGAATTTCTGTTCAACTTCATTTTTTATAATAACACACTGCGTGGCTCCAAGAAACCTGAGAGTAATTCAGTTGGTGCAGCTGTGTGTGGACTTTGCTTTGCTTTACAGCCTCAAGGTTAAGGAGTAAAAGACTGAGACAGATCTAGGAAATAAACAGCTGTTTTATTTCTGTTAGACGCCTTTTATGGATCAAATGTTCTTGGTGTTTTTATTAGAAGTAATCCCCCATCATTCTCCGCCTTCTGTGCCAAACAGCTCATTTCATTAAAGAGAAGATATTCCGTTATTAGGTTATATCCAAGTAACGTCTTCCTATGGGCAACGAGATGAAGGCACAAACTAAACTGTTCATAATTTATTATCTATGGTACGCCAGCATTCAGAACATGTAAGCGAATCACTGTCCTCCAGACATCCACAGTTATATTATTTATATTTATATTTTTTTAAAACGAAGCGGCGCATGTATGACATCAGCGCGCCGGCTGCCATTACTTCATCCTGTTCGCTGAACTGCTGCTAGTTTTACTCACATGCCTGGAAGATGTCCAGTGCTACTACCACAGATGATCTCGCTCTCTAAATGGAATAGAACGATTCAGATTAAATCCCCGAATGAACAGAAGGGGTAGAGCGTAGCCGCCTGTGGCCCGGGCTGCCTGTCACAACTCCAGTCAGGCGCGCGGATGACGTCAGACATGCGCCGCTTTGTTTATAAAAAATATAACCGCTGATGTCTGGGGGACAGTGATTCACCTACATGTTATGAATGCTGGCGTACCATAAAGAATAAATTATGAACAGTTTAGTTTGTGCCTTCAAGTCGTTGCCCATAGGAAGACATTACTTGGATATAACCTAATGGAATATCTTCAGAACGGCTCCAAATGACAGAAAACTTATATGGATGAGTAGAACATAATGTAATAAC